TTGTTGTTTGAGTTTTTTGGGCCCCAGCTACTTTGGACCACTAGCACATGCATCTTTCAAATATAATTTGTACCAAATTTCTTAAAAAAATAAATATAGATTAATTGTGGTTATAGTGGAGGAGGAAAAAAACTTGATTTTTCTTAAACAAGATCAAAGGTTTAAACTTTGTTGATAGAAAAAAATTCATGTTTATTATTATACTTCAATTGAGTCAAAACAATGGTTAAATATGTTATGGCATTATTGAATATTATATATTTGCATATATATATATATATATATATAAATTTCACATCACATTTTACTTTATCTCAGTTTATGTATTTAATTTTAATATAATAAAATTATTGAGCATGATCTTTTAGTTAGCCATTTATTTAAATATTTAGTTGTTATTAGAGTATTCCTCCGGTTCTAAATGTAAGATTCTTATACTAATACCTTTATACACACTAGTATAAGGGTTTTACATTTAGAACCGGAGGAGTATAATGGTAATAATTAATCCCACCTAATAGGATAAAGTTTATTAATGTTGTTGTATTTTTTGGAGACTATCTCACAGTCATTCACTAATCCAAATGTAAATATTGACAGATTCAAATGAGAAAATTTTTTTCTCAATCTAGAATGTTAATTATTTTCGTCATTTAATCGCATTGTACTCATTAATTAGCTTCTCACATCCCGGGGCTCATGTTGGTTTGAAAGTGAGAGTGGCTAAAATATATAATGAAGTCATGATCGATGGTGAGATTCTGACTTCAAAAATATCAAAATGCTAAAAGAAGATAGATGAACAAGTTGCAGGGAATAACTTTTTATTTGTAAAATTGCAAGATATTTGCAAATGGTTTAAACGAAATGGAATAAATTGGGTCCTAAAGTATGAAGGAATATGGAATATTTATATTTCATGCTGCTCTTGGTGGCCCTTCTTTGACTTCATAACCAATTAAACAATTTTTCTTCTTGTTACAATCAATACAGAGGCACTCAAAATATTAACATGTTGACATCAGATTTCAATATGAAATCTTATCTAAACGTAACGAGTGGCATTGCTATAAAGATGTTACTACCTCTGGTTCTTACTATAAGAACTTATTTAACTTTAATTTACTTTGTCTCTTATATTTAATAATTTTTTCTAAAAGTAGTCCTTGTAGTAACGATAATTATAGCTAATAAACTAGATCAGTAAGGATATTTTAGAAAAAACAATACTTATTTATTACAAATGACTAACTTAATTAGTTTTCATAATCTTCTCAAACTAATCAACTAGTTTTAGTATTAAGAACCGGATGAAGTATATAGAATTAAGAAATTGCTCGAAACAATAGAACTTGAGAAGCACATACCAGTTTTGTCACGAATTTATTTAAACTTGAGAGTGGCATTAAACGGGGGAATGGCCTGAAGCTAGGGAGATGGAACAAGAGTGTCATCCAGAAATCGTGACGAAGAGGTCTCTTCCCCCATCACTGTTTTCGCTCTCACAATATGACAATAATGCTTTTGCTTTCACCTCAGGCAATATATGATAGGGATATCCCAATCATCCTCACACACATAAATTTTCTCCTTTTTTTTTTTCCGAAAAAGGAAATATCTTACTACTCTGAATTAGTTTACATGCATTTCAATTAATTTACTCTCTTAATTTAGCAAAAGGCAAGCCATTTCCTAAAATCAACTACATAGAAAAATATCTAACTCAGCGATCAAAACATAAATTCATACTCATCCAATCCTAGCTAAACACAGGAGTTAGTTAGAGAGTTACTTTTGATTCTAAATATAATACCTCGTTTCATTTTATTTCTCATATTTATTATTTTATCTAAAATAACTTATTTAACTTATAAACTGATATATAATTTAATGTTATATAAAAGTATTTTATACATAGGTCAAATCGCATACGTTATAATTAAATGATTTATCTGACTTTCTTAGATTATTCAAATTAGTAAAATAATTATTATATTAAGGATTAAAAAATATATGATAAAATTTATAATAAGTTGCATTTTATATAAAATTATGAAGAGCAGAGTAAGCATACTTGTACTTAAGCCAAGGCAACCCAAAAGTGTGAGAGGGGGAGTAGTTGTGAACAAAGGGATGAGAATGCCACACATTGAGGAAGGTTCATTAATTGAAGGCATATCCAAAAAAACAACAAAAACTTTGGGTTGACATGCAGCCTCATCCAAAGGAAGAGTCACGAGTGTGTGTGTATATTATTTTTGTTGGCTTTTTCCTCACCAATCACTCATTCTCTCTCTACACACACACTCAACATTCATTATTCTTGTCCCTTTTCCTCCCTAAGCAAATCAAAATGTACAAAAGGGTGTCACTTTTTATTTTTTTACTAAATATTATTAATAATCCCACAAACATGTGTTAGTCAATCTTTCAAAAATATAAATTTAAATATAAATACAAGTCATTTATATATCCAACCCTCAAAATTTATTCAATATAAAGCAGTCATGCCCATCTCCAACATTTTCCAAGCTTTTTCTCCAACCATCCTCTCATTTTCTTGCTTTTCTATGGCATTCAGGAACTTTGAAGGAGCCATGGCTTGTCATTTGCAATGCATATGGATGCTAAGGGTATGATGATCTAACAATCAATAAATTGTGAAATAGTGCCTTAATTGGTTCAATAACCAATTTGATTTTTAATACTTTATTCATCATAATTTACTACCTTTGGTCCTTAATATAAGACACATTTGACTTTTATGTTGATCCTAAATATAAGATCTCAATTCATTTTGTCTTTCATATTTACTCAATTTTTTTCAAGATAGTCTTTCTAATAATTATAATTTTAACCAACATACTTGATTAGTAAGGATATTTTAGGAAAGACAACATCTATTTATTACAAATAACTAACTTAACTCTTCTTCTTAATTTCCTCAAATTAGTCAACTGGCTCTTATAATTAGGACCGGAGGTAATATAATGTAAGTGACTAAAAATTTAGTTAACAAGTCATAACTATTGTGTTGATGTGTGTCTATATATAGATATTCTTTTTTTTTTTTTGGGAAGCAATCCTATTTAAGATATTGTTTGGCACTAAATATGGGCATATATCCTAACGGGAATTTGAACCTTAGTTCGTCACGTTGTGAGGAACTAACTCTTTCTGCTAGATTTAATCCCCTATTGGTATGTTGATGCATGTTCTTAATGATTAATTTAAAGCATAAATATGAACATTACTTATGGTTTATTATTCATATTCCATATATGGGGTTCAATTCACATCTAGTTAAGCTAAGTGGGCTTTTTTTGGGCCAACGTGGCGTGGTTTACTTCATTGACTAGATTTGTTATTGGTCAAAAGTTTGCAAAAAGGCCCGATCTAGGTGCCGTTAACAAAACAAAATAAAAAGGCATGAAGTTGAAAGCCCATTTACCAATACAAGCCCAATAAATATATTTGACTGAGGCTCCTTCTTTTCTTTTTAAAATAAATTTTCAGTTTTTATATTGTCAAAAATCAGTTTTTGCTAAATGAATGTTAAAAGTAAAAAAATCTTCCAACCCATCTTTTGTGATACAATTTTTTTTTGGACAACGCAAATTTTTCCATAGAATACTAAAAAGCTTTTCTTTTCTTTTCTTTCTTCTTTTCAAATTACACCGACAGGATTAAAGAGATTTAATAGAGCAAATAAGCATTGATTAAGTAATGTTAACATTATTTAAATATTTAAGTTTGTTTCCAAAATAAAAACTAACCTAACCTAAAAAGATATAGTACTTTATAAAAAAATTAAACTTAAATATTAATTAAACTAGTGGCATTCAGATTAACTAACTACCTATTCACTCGTATTAATAAAAGAGCAGTTTCCATGATAATTTAAGTAAACTAAGGCACACGTGGCCTCTAGCACATAAATGAGAAAAGATCATTTTTGACCCAGAAATGAGAAAAGGATCATTAAAGATGAAAAATGAGAAAGGCTATTGGATTGCCACATGATTTTAAGAAATTTCGATGATCATCATCATTATCTATATTTATATTTGATAGACTTACGGAATCTCACATGAAGGCACGAGGCTTCCCAGCTTTAACTTCTAATCATGTCCTTGGGAGACTTGGCATTTTTATGATTCCTTCGGAACAAAACATATTTCAAGTTATTTACATTTATTGGATTAAGTTCTCTAATCACATTTGATAGTATTTTGCTATTGTTAGTCGTTAAAATGTGTACGTGCACTTATAAATTCATTTATGAATACTAAACATCTCTTTTAAGACTTTTTTAAGTATGAGATTGTAAGTTTGAATTCTCAGTAGAAAATATGATTGGTGCGTTAGTTATGACAAGAAAAGTCCTTTAATCAATAAGTAAATTATAAGACGATTTCTCTTACATATTTATATTGTATAGTGCAAAATCATTTAAAAATAAGCTAAACGAAGCAGAAAAGTTATCAAAAAGACATGCTATTACAAGTTATGAAGATTGCAAATTATTACCTCAAACTCTAAGCAAATATAAGACTCAGGACCCGCATTCCAGTTTTATTAATTAGATTGACATCTAATGCTCTCTAATCATTCAGAATAATAACCATACACCCGTGCAGCGTTATATATATGTACACATAAAGCAGCTTTGGCTTGAGACCAAATGAATTGAATTGAAGCCAATAATATCCAGCATGTTACCTTTTCTTTTTGGCCTGAAGAGCATATTAATTATAATTAGTTTGGTATGCTTTTCTCAAAGCATACTATAAATATTCTCCTTCATACAAAAAGGTTAGTTCATACCTCACAAAACCTCTCTCTCTCTCTCGCACGCGTACACACACATGCACAATCATAGTTTCACAATTAAAGCTGCATAGTGACCCCCATAGCTGATCATTACGGGTATATATATATAATATGCCAAGCAAGTGGTGCTTATAGAGGCAGAGGCGTTAGCTAACACAGCATCAGCAATGGACAGCGTCTGTGTTGTGTTTGTGACAGCCTTAATTCTGTTCTTCTCCACTGTGGTCCTTATCTTCTACCAAAACAGGTTCAGACTCAAAAGCAAGTCCAGAAATCATCAACTTCCCTTAGGTTCTATGGGATGGCCTTTCATCGGTGAAACCGCCGACTATGTTTCCTCTGCTTATAATGTTGGCCCCGATGCCTTCATGGACAAGCGACGCAGCATGTAAGTGTATATCCACAAATCAAGCACCATATGGCATGCACATGTATGTTTTGATTCATGGCTAGCCATATGCTAACTGTCTTACTGGTCTTCACTCAATATGTTTGTTAGCTGCTTGATGTTATGCCCACATGCTGCAAAAAGCTGCAGTGCATTCAGTTATAGTCTGTGGAGCAACAGTTTTCAGAATGGGAGGCATATCTGCATGAACTGTCTAACATTCAAGCTTCTGACCATGTTAGGGATAGATAACTAGGAATAGTCATCTGGGGTAGCTCAAAAGATGATTATGATCATACTAAAGTGGCTTCCAACTTCATTATGATTTTATGGTTTTGAAGCTAAACAGTGCACATGTTATCATGTTTAGTCCAGTATCTGAGTTTCTTATGTTTTTAAAGCCAAAGAGCTGCTTTTCTTCTTCTTCTTCTTGTTTTTTTCCCTTTTTTTTGGGGGGGGGGTGTAAATAAAATGAAGCCAAAGGGCTGAGGATAGCCATCTGGGTTGTCAGAATTCTTTATTTCAAATCATATGCAAAGATGATGATTTTGATCATACCAAAAGTGGCTTCAAATTTCATCATTATGATCTTAAGGTTTTGCAGAAAGAGAAGAATCTAAAACATGCTCTCTTCTTTTTTTTTTTTTTTCCCTGGTTGTTGCAGGTATGGGAAGGTGTTTAAGTCGCACATATTTGGGAGTCCAACAATAGTTTCCATGGATGCAGAAGTTAATAGATTTGTACTGCAAAGTGATGCAGCGGTTTTTGTTCCATCTTATCCAAAGTCTGTTTCTGAACTGATGGGGGAGTTCTCGATTCTGTCTATCAATGGAAGCCTTCACAGGAGAATACATGGCCTCGTTGGAGGTTTTTTCAAGTCTCACCAGCTTAAGTCTCAGATCACCAAAGAAATGCAGAACTACATCCAACAATCAATGGCAAATTGGAGCGAGGATCGCCCAGTATTTATCCAAGATGTAACCAAAAGTGTTAGCTCTCTCTCTCTCTCTCTCTCTCTCTCACACACACACACACACAAAGGTGATTCCTGAAAAGAAAATTTGAATACCACCTCTAGTCCTAATTATAAAACTTCATTTATAGTAGATATTGTGTCTACATCTTTCTTAAAATTATACTATTTTCGGTCCTAATTATAAGACTTCGTTCATAGTATATAAGAAATAAGATCTTGTAATTAGGACCAGAGGTAGTGTAATTTTAAGAAAGAGGTAAATACGATATCTAGAATCTATTTGAATGAAAGACTTCACAAAGATCATGTTTGGCATGGTGGAGCAATTTTGAGGGAAATGGAAAGAAAGGACGAGAGAAAGAAGGTTAAATACTTCCCTTATTTGAGGGCAGCGCTATTTTTTTTTAGAATTTTAATTAATTATTTTAGACCAAATAATTAAGTTAGAGATTTATCTATCACTCTCCATTTCTTAATCTTCTTTCACTTATACCAAACACGACAACTGTCTGTGAATCTTACATGAAAGATAAAACAAGAATTTTCAGCACATTTTGTTCTACATATTTAACCCTTTTTTTATTAAATTAGCTACTTTTAAATTCTTAGATAAACTCACTCGGTAACCACATCATAAAAACATTTGCGCATGTAAAACGTTTCTCATTGAAACGTGACTAAAAGAGACATTTTTGAGCAGGTGTGGTGAAATCTGTTACATCATTCACTAACTAATCTCAAAGATAAAATAACTGCACAAAATTTAATTCAACCGTGTTAAAATTGTGTTGTTTTTTAAATTTTTAACCAAAACTGGTTTGTTATTATAGTCTATAGATCCATCATAAACACAATTTACCTAAGAAATACTGAAAGATCGATTCTAATTATTTAGTTATGTCTTCCTACTTTTCGTCGAACATGCACAAGATTTTTCTCCCCCTAAGCTGCATGATGAAATATACAATCTCTAATTATTAATGTTTGAGTAGTCTCTGGCTCGTACCTGAGTTCCAAGATCACATAGCTTCAACATGGAAAGAAGAGAAAGTTATCTTATTGGGGTTCATAATCATTTTTAATAAATTATACTGCCCTGAAAATGAGAGCCACAATTATGAGTTTTATACTCCTTTTTTTATTTGCAGATTGCCTTTCAATTACTAGTCAAAGCATTGATTAGTTTAGATCCAGGTGATGAAATGGATCTCCTAAGGAAACATTTTCAAGAATTCATCTCTGGATTCATATCTCTACCTATAAACCTACCAGGAAGTAAGCTTTATCGTTCTTTACAGGCAAGTCATCTAAAAAAAACTAAATGATTTCTTTATTTTATCCTAGTCAAAAGCCTATATACTTATTAGTAGTGACTTTCACTTTGGTTTCATCAGGCCAAAAAGAAGATGATCAAATTAGTGCAGAAAATTATCCAAGCAAAGAGAGATAGTGGCCTCTCTAAGGTTCCAAAAGATGTAGTGGATGTGCTACTGAATGATGCAAGTGAGCATTTCACTGATAAATTGATAGCAGATAATGTAATTGATATGATGATTCCAGGAGAAGACTCTGTGCCTGTTCTTGTTGCTATAGCTATAAAGTACCTATCAGAATGTCCTCTTGCTCTGCAACAATTAACGGTATATATACCATATCTTGAACACTGTGTCATTTTCTCAAGTTTGGAAATTTCTCAAGAAGATTTAGTCCATATAAGATACGTATGCTGTAGAAATGATGAAATAATATGCAGGCACATTAGAGATAGTTGATAAGAACTCTTCGGATAGTTACATTCTAAAAGCTATCTTATGAGATTGCACAAAGCAAGGTTCATATAAAATTCACATAAGAATCTTATATTTACAATCTGGTGGGGATTTTCACTTCCCATTTTTCGATGCTCATGAACTGCTTGTATTGGCACATCACTTGTTATTATGATCATCTGATCCACCACAGACCACATGGGGATATAAGAAAGTCATGAAACTAATTTCCTGATGAGTTTTACCTAATTTTTGATGAACCTCACAGGAGGAAAATATGAAACTTAAGAGACTCAAAGATCAGCAAGGGGAGCCTTTAAGTTGGAGTGATTACATGTCATTACCATTTACTCAAACAGTAAGGACTTGGTTTCCTGTTGAAGAATTTAGGGCCAAAAGAAAAACGGAATAAGAAAACACAATACCTTCTGAACTAATTTTTCTGTTCAATTTGTACAGGTTATTACAGAAACTTTGAGGATGGGGAATATTATAATGGGTGTCTTCCGAAAGGCCATGAAAGATGTTGAAATAAAAGGGATTTTAATACCAAAAGGATGGTGTGTTTTTACGTATTTTCGATCAGTTCATCTAGATGACAGTAACTATGATCATCCTTACCAGTTTAATCCATGGAGGTGGCAAGTAAGACAACAGCGTATTCATTTATTTTGGTTTCTTTTCTTATATTTGTATTGTTGCAGCTTTAACTGATTGAATTTGGAGATTTTATGACAGAACAAGGACATGAGCAGTTGCAGTTTCACTCCGTTTGGTGGGGGACTAAGGCTTTGTCCTGGTCTTGACTTGTCCAGGCTGGAAGCTTCCATCTTTCTCCATCACTTTGTTACTCAATTCAGGTAAGTCTGTCATAGTAGATCTTATTCAGAATTCTGATAGACATGATTACATGTTTATTCAATAAAAATGCATGTATGGAGGGATATTTTTCTTTTGGAAGAGATAAATTTGTGTTTCTAAATTATAAAAAATATCCGTATGTCATATTTTTATTAAACAGGCCGGTTGGTAGCAAACATCTGGACACTTGGTCCTTTTATAAACTAATTAAGGTTAAATTTTATGATTCTATACTTAACCCTAATAAGTCAACAAACTGAGTCATTATTAAAAGCATAACGCGAAGCATAGAAAATAAAAAGGACAAAATCCACAGAAGAAAAGGAACTTTTTCCTGTCATTCTGGGAACCCAATGGCGTTTAGAAAAGCTTTTTAGATTTGCTTTTCACGATTACCTCTCAAGATTAAGAAAAGCCATAGATTACTCTCTCCCCCTCCCTCCCTCTCTCTGTGTCTTTGTTTGTCCTGGGGGTCATGGATAAAAATGCCTTTTTCTTGCAAATAGGCAAAGATGAATAATGTGGTGAAAGTAGTGAAATTATGGGGCTAGAAAGCTTCACGTACTCCACTAGAAAGATAATCTAATACTAATCTCCTTGTCACATCATGTGCAAATTAACAGAGCTCCTTTCAAATTTTGCTAAAAAAGCTACAGAATTGTTTGCTGGTCTTGGGCCCTTTTAAGTGTTTGTCTTCTTGTTAATGATGAGAAGACTCAAAAGTAATCATACTCAAATAACAAATAGCAAATTCAAATTTTTAAGAAGACTTATGTATGTATGTATGTATGTATGTGTAAGTGGTAATGCAATGCATGGAATTTGTGATATGAGCTGGACTGATGATCACTGCATAATATAAACTTTATCATTTTATGTTTTATATTGATATCAGTTACTAATATACGTGTAATCATATCAGATCCAGCTTTAAATTAAGATTAATATTCTTTTCTATTCATGGTTAACTTGCATTGACAGATGAGTCATATACCGCAATCCTCCAAAATATTATTCGTAGGACTTGAATTTTTATACATGTGCTTCTATGAAGATATGTCTTCACAAATTGAACAAGAATATATAGGCCCTAGGGGCTAGCTTGGCCTTCATAATATGTAATCTTATTTCCATATCTCTTATGCTCTTTTTGTTCCTCCCCTTTTATAACATACACATTGTGAAGACTGAATCAATTCTTTGCTCATATTAGTTTGTCCTAAACATTTAAGGACGAAAAAAAACCCTCTGCTGATCAATGCCGCTTTATAATTATCAGAGGCATCTTAGAATTTTTGTTTCATTTGCATGCTGCAGATGGTCAGCAGAAGAAGATACCATTGTGAACTTCCCCACAGTAAGAATGAAAAGGAGAATGCCAATCTGGATAGAGAGAGTGAAGGATTGAGATGCTTTGTAATGCTGAGAAGAAAAGAGAGGTAGGGGTCAAGAAGAGTTTGGCAAATGCAAACACAAGGGTGCATTGTATTTGATCTATTATGCAGATATAGACAATAGAAAGAATCATCTATGTTTTCAAGGACTAATCACTTTGATTCCTGCGGGCCTTCACTTTTTACTTCTTTATGGAGAAACGACGTAAAAAAGATTTATTGTAAGGTGGAGCGTGGAGATCTTCTTGTTGAATAAAAGTAGTTTTACTTTTCATACCTTTTGTCCTTTGTTTTTACTCGTTTTCTTTCTGTCGTTGGAAGAGAAGTGAGACGGTGAGTTTAGTGGGTATGGACAGAGACAATCATAGTTTTTGAGTTTTAGGGTCCCATAATATACAGTAGCATTCATGGGAAATTTGATGGAAGTTTTATTAAAACAAGAGTATTTTATCACTAATGGAATTGTTCACAGACAGGTGCTGTTTTGAATACTTTATATATACCTAAGATCTTGTAAGATTTTAAAATATATTTGCAAAGATAGCAATAAAATCTGACCTAACATATGGTTTAATTCTTATTATTAATTGGTTGTCATCTCATCAACCCATTCCCTCTGATGAGAATATTTTGCCCAAGGATTGATAAAGAAGGGTTAGGAATATGATATACATGCAGTTTGGAGTAGGTCTAGCAGGTTGATATATATTGCTTTGTTGGTTCTATATTCCTGTTATAGTTTTGCCAAACTGGTTTTGTTGCTTTCTGGTTTTATGATTTTGGATACTACTAGCAAATGTAATATGTTCTTCATAATTAACAAAGCTCCTGTTTGGCCCAAAAAAAAAAAGTTCACCTCCAAATCTGGATTATCCTTAGCATCCTAATGGGACTACTTACAAGGAGTTTGTATTTCAACTCTTTAGGGCCAAATAAAGAGTGCTTTCTAGGACTCGGAGTCCCAAATTTATGGGCTCGTAGGCAAAAGTTACAAACAATAAAAGAACCTAGCAACATTTTTTTTTTTGGTACAAAGCAACATTAAAGCATCATCCAATAGTATAAAGTCTTAACATTAGAAGGACAAGGAAGATTTAAATTGAAAGCATGTTAATGTGAGTTGATTTCCTTAGCCCAATTTTTGAACTGGTAGCAATGAGGAATCTTCAATCACATTTTATTATGATTGGACAAAGATTATATTCTGCCTCAAGACCATCAAAGTTGCCATGAGATGTCCTCTAGCATTCTCCTTGTTCTTCTTTTGTCTTTTGGAGAGAACCACATTAGTTGAAGATCAGAAAAAAAATTGGTCCATATACCTTAAGGGAGGATCGTTGAGAATGACAATATTTCAACTGTCATGGCGCACGTAGTAAGCAAACTAATCTCTTTGGCTTCTTTGAAAACGTGACAGAGTGTGACATTTCAATTTTACCTCTTTGATCCAACAATAATTTAGAAAGTGGACTAATTATTGAGCCAAATAAAATACTGGTTCACAATTCTTAAGTTGAATATTGATTTAATTGTGATTAGATTGTTTATAAAGAATATCACATTAAAAATTTTCAGTATTTCAAAATATATTGGCTTATGGGAGAACATGCTATTATAAATGATGTAATAAAATTATGAGTAAAAAGTTAAAAAAACAATGATAAGAAAAAAAAATTTTGGACTGAAATGATAAGAAAAATTTAAAGAAACAATTGAAATATTTTCAACCTTACACGTCCCCATTCGTGTTTTTAAAAGTTTTGAGAAGATAGAACCTTGCTATTAAATTAAAATCTTGTCAGATCTATATGTAGTACTACCTCCGATCCTAAATATAAGAGTTAGTTGACTGATTTGAGTAGATTAAGAAAATAAATTAAGTTAGCTATTTGTAATAAATAAGTATTATCTTTTCTAAAATATCCTTACTAATCAAGTATATTCGTTAGAAGAATTACTATTTTTAAAAAAACTGCATCGAAAAAAATTCATAAATATGAAAGAAAAAATAAATTAAGGTTTTATATTTATGATCAAAATAAAAGTCAAACGAGATCTTATATTAAAGATAGAAGAAGGTAGTATAATTTATATTATAAAATGTGTTTTACATCAAGAACGAGATATATATAAATTTAGAAGCAAAAATTATACCTTCGCCCATAAATATCTATTAAAATTCTAGAGAGGTAAAATTTTAATTTAACGGCACCCCCCTTGGGTCATCTGTGAATTTCGGGACTAAAATACTCCAATCAGGTAAAACGACATCGTCATATCCTCCGCCGCAGATCCAATATTCCCAGGTAAGGGAAGATGGCCTAGTGGAGGCACCTCGTTTGATTTCATCGACCCTCCTTGCTGCAAATTTCGTCCCCTTTCACAACTTCGCTTTCCTCCGCCACAACCCTCAGGTCCTCGTGTTCCTGTTGGAGACTCCCTTCTTTGGATAAAATAATCAAAGGTTCCAAATTCTTCTTCGTTTTCATTTATTTATTTTGATCTTTTGTGCCGATGAAAAACTTGCTATTCTGCTTCGTTCTTTGATTGTTCTGTAATTTCTGAAGCTCCTTTTTACGTCTTTATGAGAATGTTTTCCGTTCTATTTCATTTTTAATCTCCTTTTGTTTGTAATCTCGTCCATTTTGTGTTTCATCCAGCTTTGCTACAAACTTATGTCTTGTTTCATTCTTTTACCATTCTGAACGATGGTTTTAGTGTTCAATAATCAGTTATTCAATATAGCGGTGTGTTTGTGTTAATCTTTTTAGGTAACTTAAAAATGGCTAAACGTAGTCGTGGTCAGAGGGAGAGAGAAGTCGTCCGTGACCGCCGGGGATTTTTGCCTGAAGGCCCTTTTCTTCGTGAACCACCCATGCAACGACCGCGTTTGCCTCCTCATCCGGCTATTTTGGAAGAAGAACTTGAAATGCAGCACGCAGAAATGCGGAGGTTGATAGCTGATAATCGGAGGTTGGTTGAGGATCGAATGGCATTGCAGCGGGACCTTGCAGCTGCAAAGGAGGAGCTTCATCGGATGAATCTTGCCATTGTTGACCTTCGTTCAGAACAAGAGCTGCGTTCGAGGGAGTTTATTGAGAAGGGACTGGAGTTGGAATCTGAGCTGCGGGCGACAGAGCCTTTGAAGAAGGAGACTACACAATTGCGAGCTGAAGCCCAGAAACTTAATAAACTTAGACAAGAGCTTGCAGGCAAAGTTCAGACACTCACCCAAGATCTTGCAAGGTTACAAGCTGATAATCAGCAAATTCCTATGCTGAGGGCCGAGATTGAAGGCCTGCATCAGGAGCTTATGCGTACTAGGTGTGTGGTTTAATTTCTAAAGGAGTTTTAATTTTGAATGTTTAATCTCTTTCGTGATGTGCAATTTCGCAAAACTGCTTTAAAATGATTTTTTTTTTCCAAAATTTTTAGAACCATGGTTGACTATGAAAAGAAAGCAAGCGCGGAGTTGATGGAACAGAGACAGGCAATGGAGAAAAATATGGTTTCCATGTCCCGAGATGTGGAGAAATTACGGGCAGAGCTGACTATTGCTGAGGGCAGACACTGGAACGCAGGTATGGGATGTTTATTTTCTTTGTTCATTGCTCTGCAGATCTTTGATGATCCTTGTGAGATATATCATCATCGTGTCTCTTTAGTTGGTTAACTTTTTAGCAATACTGTTATTAGAATACTATTAAGTTGAAATTTGGATTGAACAAAATGTGCTGAATAATTGGAAAGTAAACTCATTCAATTCGAAGACCTGGAAGGAGGCATATATTGAAGCCCTAAATAACAGGGTGAATATTAAAATAATTTTTACCAGATGAGACTTCTCGTGTAAGTGTTTATTGTTGCTCTATTGTACATCATGGACTTTTTCTTGTCTTGCTTCTTCATTTATCAAGGTGGGCCTTATGGTACAAGATATGGTGGCTTGGATTTACCAGTTCCATATGCCGATGGATATAGTTCTCATATGGTATGTTGTGCCCTCTAATTAAAATTTAGTTTATTCTCAACTTTTTTGGGTTTCATTTACGCTTCATGTGCTGCTGTCTAGGGCGGTGCTGAGAAAAATCCATTGTATGGACGAGTTCCTCCTTCAGGGGGACGACATGAGAAGCCTCACACATCTCGCCGTTGAGATATGAGTAATTGCTGTTGGAATGAACAAAGGCACTTCCTTCATTTATGGGAACATCGGAATCTGAGATGAAACTTGAAGTTGCTTTTTGTGTGCTTGCAGCATCAAGGGTCAATTATCTGGATATGTTATTAGTCCTAAACGACATATATAAGGTTTTAGACTCTTAGTGTTGCTTTTCTTTTAATCCTAGGTACTCTATTGCTGCAATACATCTTAGTTTATTACTATGATGGAAATCTATGTTTCAATGATGGATAGTTTTCCTTCTTACTGTTGTTAATGTTTTTTTTGGCCCGATTATGAATTTAAGTCTTTCTTCTCTATAAAGTCATCTTTTCTATCAGTTGAATTGGAACCTGGAAGGCCTTGTTTAGGTTTTTAACTCCTATGTGCTGAATCATGTGTGCTGAAGTTCATTGTACAGCAAGTATCTCATTCTCAAGCATTAGAAGACTATGTAGTTTGTGTCCTTGACATCAGAGTTCCTGGTTGAAACCTAGACAATTTAAATGAGCTATGCTGTTTGATACATTCCATGTTAAGCTATGCTGTTTGATACATTCCATGTTAAGGAGTATGAATGAGTGATTTCCGCTTTAGTCTAGCATTTGGTACCTGGAAATCTGGTACTGAAATTATCACCATGCATAAGTCTATAGAGGATTAATCTTTTGTGTTTATGTATTCTCGCTGATTTAGTAATGTAAGCAGAACAAAAAGTTGCGTGTTGCCAGAAAGCAGAGTGTATTTTCTTTTAGGTTAGATTGATATATATATATTTTTTGGGTTACTTTAGGTTAGATTGATAGTTAATGTATATGTGACTATTCCAAAACTAGATTGGCCAAACATGTGAGTGCTGATGTTGGTGGCATGAAAGCTTTCATTTGGCAGTAGTCAGTGTGATCATGGAACTGAGAAGGGAAACAACCTGCGTACAAGTTATTGAGAAATGGGAATATCAATTTGTGGACCGCTTTTATTACTGACAACTTCCTGGCCGTGCAAATGAGATGTCCTTTTCTCAGACATAAAGTTGCCTTCTTGATGAGGAGTTATGATTTATGGGACTTTCTTGGTTCTACTTCTGGGGAAGATGTTCATATGATTGTGATCTTGGGAGTGTTTAGGTTGACATGTATAAGCATCTTTTGCTCCTTAAGTTATCTGCTGATGAGACCTGGAAATTGTCTATATTATATCTGAATAATAGGAATGCGTTGCTGCTCTACCTACCCCCTGGGTGATAAGAGCAAATAGTGACAACATTAGACTAATCTAATGTTAACCCAGGTATTGGAAAGTCAAGGAGATAAGGGAAATAAAACAAAGCACAGAAATAAGGAATCTCCTGACTTTTGAGAGGCCAGGTCCCCTCCATGTCCAAAACAGTAGCTTCCTTCGTCTCCTCCTGGTGCACACAGCCCTAGAAAACATCTTACTCAGCCCTTGCAATGTCGGTAACTTTGTTAGCCTCCAACTCAGCATTCCAGCCAGCATTGGTTGTTGGGCCTATGGTAACCTTCCTTCTTGGCCTCATTTCCTATCAATTCTATGATTGGGCCTCCTCCTTGAGTAGACTTGGCCCATAAATGTACCAGGTCCATCATCTGCTAAGTTGCCTGTAGTACTTTTTTTTTTTTTTAATATTTTTTTTAAATACAACGGAAAGAAAAAAAACAAGGAAACTAAATAAAGTTGCTAGAGTTTAGAATCTCTCCAAGCATATCAGGACCATAAGTTTGAAGGCCCACATTGCCGTTATGACCAAGCTTAGCAAGGGAGTCCTCCAGCTGGTTTTCTTCTGTCGGGATGGCTTGCATTTCCACATTCCAGCTTTGAGCAAGCAGGCTCTTGGCCTCAGCAACGACATTCCACTCAGAATGGGTACCGTGAGTGTCATTTCTAACCACCATTCCAGTTGCCTGTAGTACTTGTAACTACTGCTTTTTGCTGGCATGAGAAGAGGGCAATTTAAGCATATGCCCTGCTGCTTGGAGTGGTGTTTATCTGTTTTCTTTGAAAAAATGCACAGCTGGCCTTGTGTCTTTGAGTAGTTTTTGAGAATTTGTTGCACGCTAATTATGTTGATCTATTGCCGGAGGGTTGCCAGAAGCATAATGCACTCGCATGGAGCTGTTACAGAAGTGTATAATGCACTGCCTGGTCTACACTTGAAATCTGATTATTTAGTTAGATCTTGGCAGATGCAAATTATTAAACGGTATGAACAATGACATCTGAAGGCTTGCTGCTAATCTGAAGCTCGTAGGCAAGTATTCTGCTTCTTGGTCTGAATGATGTAACAAATATGGAGCTGTGCTTTGCGTGATCATGCTGAATATTATCATGTAAGGCTCAATAACTGCATTTTAAATTTAATTGTTGCTCATCTAAATTGAGCTATAGTATTAGATCATCTTGACATTTGTTTCAAGTATGTCATCTAACCGTAAACGTCAGTTTAGAAGGATAGCAAGGAACTTCAAATCCTAATTTAACTGGATCAATATTATAATTTATTTTATTGATTAAATTATACAATCCAAAGCAGTGACCTTTTTCCCTCCATTTCTTTCTATGAGATTGGCCTTCTTTTTTATGATACCGGGAAGAAGATCGTACAGGTAGCAGCCTATCTTCTTTGCTTGCAAGAATAAAGAGATCTGATCGGGTTGTTAGTTAATTTTCCATTGGGTCTGCTTTTGGAGTTTTCTGGGGTTTGTTAGACAAACCACTTTCTGAAATAAGATATTCAAATTAGTTTTTTGGGATTCTTACTGATTCTCCTTCCACAACCGAAGATTGACCTTCCTCTTGTTAAGTTGGCACAAGTTTTAGATTATGTGGTATTGGTGGACACCTCTGATGGTCCACATAATGGTCCTCCTGTTTGCATTATGCTGTTATTTTTGGAAAAAAGAAGGGAAAACCGCATATCCTAATTTGGAATGTGAGGCTAGAGAAGTAATTGGATGGTATCAAGCAGTGGACGATGTGAAAGAGCGCCTATGGTATTATGGTTTTGTTGCTTGCTTGGAGCTAGCTGAAAAGTTGTAGGATGATAAACCTTTCTTATAGGTTCTTACTGGCCATTCTCTTAATTAGCCTTCTAGTATTAGCAAGAGGTGTCGATCTTAGTTTGTGCAGGTGACAATCCATGGTGAACTGTGAAATCATTTAATATTGTTTACTGTTTCTGGATTTGGCAACCTCCTGGTTTCCCTGGAGCATTGGTAGCTGAAGCCTCAAACTAATGTGCTTTCTTTTATCATTCTTCTCGAGTAAATGACTGAACTTCTTTGCAGTAAAGTCCACTGGTTGTTACTGTTTTTCTCAGATTTGCATTTGGCAGCATTTAGACTTGGATGAAGGACGTGAAACTAGGGCTGGAAATGTTTTAGGTCAAAATGAACCAGTTATTAATTTTTGCTGATTTGAAGTAGTTTGAACTTGTGCAAAGAAAGTCATTAGAGGCTCTAATGAGGGGAGAGTTAAATGGATAGTTTTTAGTCTTATGAAAGAGATGTAAAGGGAGACCAGGAAGGACACTCAAGTAAGTTATCAAATGCGATCTCTTCATGAAAGATGTTTATTAAGAGTTGTTGATGGAGCATAATAGTGTCATATGACTCGTGAAGCTGACTTTACTTTATAGGATAAGGGAGACCAAGGACACCCAAGGAAGTTATCAAATATGATCTCTTCGTGAATGATACTTCTAAAGAATTAGTTGATAGAGTAATAATAGTCTCATTTGATTCATCTAGCCAACTTCCATTGGTAAGATATGGTTTGTTTCTCGTGAACAAGTTTTGTTGTTAGGGGAACATGAACGGTCATTTTCCTGGTAAAAGCAAAGTCTATTGTCCTTGGTGATGATCTTAATCTGATTTCCACCCAGACCGGAAGATGTGGATGTACATCTCAATCTGATTTCCATCTAGGCCAGAAAATGCGGGTGTACGCGTCTCTTTTATCAAGCTTTGATGTGATTGACCACATACGAATCTTCAAAAGCTACTGGGATACTCAGTAATGTATGTGATGGATGCTAGGGATTTGGAGATTGTTGAAGATATTTATGAAACCTATTGTGGACTTCTACTTCACAGCTTAAGATTTTGGGATGAAGTGGTTCATTACATGATATCAAAGAAAATAGGAGTCTTTTTGTAGTCTGCTTTGTGTGGTGCTCAACTTCTCATCATTACAACATAAGGCGGTTCCCGCATATTGGTTTATGCGGGAACTGGCCCCCGCATATTGGTTTATGTTGCATTTTTTAATCCTGCTATTATTTTGTTATATAACATCACAAATTATGCTTTTCAATCGTCTTTTGCTTATGATACCTAACTATGAATCTTTTCTCAGTAATTAATCTGCATATTTGAGTCACTTGCCATTTATTTGAATCTAATATTATGTTTATTATGGATGCAGATGGGAGACTCGTAATCCTGTCCAACACTGGATGATTTGAACAAATCTCCTATTGGATTTCAATAGCCTTCTGATTGTTTCATGGGGAAGCTTACTCTGGGCTGAACATTTCGTTCAGTGATGCAGGATGTGGCGTGAATTATATTTTAGTATTCCAAAGACTACTTAAATATCGTTCATGCGACAAGCCCATCAACAGAAATAGGTGACATAGCTCAGCGCAAGGTTAATGTGGCCATAAAATGTTTGGTTGTTGCTAAGCATGTCACAATAGATCATGTAAGCAGTATTACCTCCGGTTCTTTATAGGAGCTAGTTGACTAAGTTGGTTAGATTAAGAAAATTAGTTAAATTAGTTATTTGTAATAAATAAGTATTGCCTTTTCTAAAATATTTTTGCTAACAAATCAAGTATATTGGCTAGAACTATTATTATTACAAAGACTATTTTGTCAAAAAATGGATAAATATGAGAGACAAAATGAATTGAAGTCTCATGCTTAGGACCAAAATAAAAGTCAAATAAGCTCTTATATTAAGGATCGGAGATAGTATGATACTGTGGCTACTTAGGAGTGTTCTATTGCAACTTGTTTAGCGGCAGTTGGATCGGTTACTTCGCTCTGGGCATGTCACCTCCCCATTTCTGTTTATGCCTGTGTTAACGGGCATGATGTGAGAATATTATTAAAAACAAAACATTTCTTGAAAAATTAAGATGAGATGTCTGTCAGCAAAGTTAAGTCCAATTGGTTCATAATTTATAAGGTTATGAGTTTAAATTTTGTTGTTGATGTGAGAATAAACCCAAAAAAAACAGAGAGAGAGAGAGATGTTGGACCATGGGTAGTCAATTGACAAAATATGTCTTTTATAGACTAAAATGTCGATTCAGTTGATGACATGTTTGGCCTCCTAGTGATGGATAAAAAATACCTTCCTGTTGAGTGTTGATAGAGTTATTGAATTGATACTATGAAGGATTGGCATTGCTCTATTGTTAAATACTGTCAATTATCCGTCAAAAAACGTAATTATAGAAACCCCAATAGAAAGGGTAGGCATGAATGGAGAATGAAAAGTGACAGCATCGCCGTTCTATGTGCTTGCACTTTTCTTTCTGGTGGTTTTTGGGGGGGGGGGGGGTTTATTTCTTGTATATTTAACTTCCATCACCAAAGGGAAGGGGTCTCATATGTCACTGTCCAGTGACTTCTCAAGAGTCGTGTAAAGTTATGACGACTGATTGAATCGTAGTCCCTTTTGATATTATTGCATTGCAAATATTATTAGTTCACTGGGCGGCGGATTCTGGGTAAATCATTCAGAATATTCATTTGGATGCTTTATGTTTGGGCTTGCTTGATCTTTTGTGTCCTTCAATGATCTCATACTGCCGCAAGATTTTCTCAAGCCCATAATCCAATTGCCTTTTTCAATTATTTAACTTACAAGTGATCAATTTTATCAATTTCTTTATCTCCCCGTGAATCGTATGTTTGCAATAACAGGGGGCGGAATTTTCTCAACTCCAATCGACTATATAGAAAATATATAAAATAAAATAATAGAAATATATTATATTAAATATATAAATAAATATAAAAAAGAAATCTAATCAAAAATATATACACTAAAAAATATATACAAATATATACACAAATAGATCCAACAGTATCCAATAATATATCCAAGTAATAAATAACATCATATAATTATTTGAAAAGATTTAAGAAATTGGTTATCTAATGCCATTTGAGACCCTTTCTCAGCATTTTTTTCTTATTAACAAACAGGAAAAAATAAGAAAGTTTAAATACTTGAGAAAAACTATATTGGAAGGTTAAAAAAAATACCTGGGTATAGGTTCCCCCGCATTAAATTTCAACATCCAAACCCTTCCCAGCAGCATTTTTTTTTCTTTTTTCTTTTTTGGCTTCTTTGCCATGGCGTTAGTCATACCCTGAGTAGTCTATGCCTCAGAGTTTTGTTACAATATAAATTAAAGTCTATCATAAATAATGATTTTGGGTATTCTCTATTTAAATATTACGTCAAACGTGCAACAGTTCTTTGTAAGCGTTAGTTCTCAGGCTTCACAAAAAATCACACGGTAATTTTAAGTAGGGACTAAAATACTCCTCTGGTCCTTAATATAGGACTTAATTCTTGAGTTGATTTTGGTCCTAAATATAAGACCCATTTATCATATTTATCAGTTTTCTCTAAATTAACCCTATGGATACTCTCTCAATCATAATTAAGTAGAAGGGGGAGAGTGGGTATTAAGAAAGATAATTATGGTGTTTTAGGAAAAATGTTCACTTTTCTTATAATTAACCAACTTACCTAACTTTCTTAATCTAATCAAATTAGTTAAATAGGTCTTATATTAAGGACCGAAGGAGTATTAACAATGTCCTTGTACTTATAATGTACCAAATGGCATTCTCCTTTTTCATCAACCTTGTTTGTTACCTTCAAGATCTTTAGAAGCATTGCATAGTTGCGATATTAAGAATTGATCATTTAAAACATAATGAGTTTTATTTTTTTAAAAAAAATAGTATAAGTTCAACTATCAATGAATTGTACATAAGCTCAGAGCTATTTACAATATTTAAATAAATAAAATATTATACTTTCAGTGTTTCAATTTTATGGAGGATTTGGATTGGTTCTTTAATTTTAAAAAGTTATTTAGTCTTTTAATCACACGTTGGCAATAAAAAATAATAACATTGAGATCTTAAATATTAATAAAGTATTTTTAAAAATTAATATATTAAGTTTAATTTTCAAAATAACCATAATTATTATAAAAAATTATTATTTAAACTTAATAATTATAGAAGTAAAGTACTAAAAATGTAAAAAATAAATAAAACAATTGTATAAAATTAAAGACCGAGCGTATACTTTATACAAAGTTAAAGAATCAGAAGTACTTTGGCTTGAGATAAATATTCAAATTTTTTTAAATTATGCTATTCTAATGTCTTATTAGTCTTTCAAAGCCCATGTGTTGTGAGGCTAAGTAGTGGAGATGGGAGGCAACACCTTCGATCTCTTCCCCTTCACTGCACATTCAGTGTCAGGAAAACGACCCTCACACTCATGCACATCTAATACCAAACCTTCCCGCGTCACCTTCAAAGGGTAGCTCACCAGATGAATGCCTTCCATATCCACAATTTCTTCGCCGCTGTAGATTTCCCACATCCGATCTCCGATCGATCGCATTTTCCGAACGCATTCCAAACTCTCCGGCTCCATCAACCATTCCTCTCCGCACCTACTGTGCTCGTACCACAATGACATCCTGTACGCGTGAATCTCGCCACGATTGACCGCTTGGTTGTTGGAATCCGCATCTTGTGATTGGTAGCAACCTATGGCTATCTCGGTGTCTCTTTGCCCATCCATGGATCTCTGGTTCACGTTGGCTGACCCTATCAACATGTACAGGTCGTCCACTGCAAATAACGGTCGAGAAGGTGGTTAGATCTTCTTACTTGTCTGAGCTTTGGAAATGGGTGGTTGTGTGGTGAATGAACTTAAATCAGGTATTTACACAAGTTTCAGGTAGTCCCGACAAGAACAAACCTTTATCGTCTAATTCATTTGGCTGTTTTAAACTTACTATTTTCGTTAGATTTGCACGTTTTGAGATTAAAGCAAGAAAATGCGTTTTTGGTTTGCTTCTGAGCCGTCTGATGAATATTTTTTCTCAGGCTCGTTCAAAGGCAAGATGAAGTTTTGGTTTGTGTCTAGTCTTCCATTGATTGGATTTGTTCACAAAAGATACTAATATATTGAGCTTCATCCCGCTAGCCTATATAGTTCAATATCTAAAGTCGGATTTATTCAGTGAAAAGGGCCATTTTCTTCAATTCTACGTAAAAGAAATAATTTACGTGATGAAAAGAGGTTAGTGATTTAAATATAAGGTTAATCTTTCATACCTATCATGAGCTTGGAGTGGACATACACCATGAACCTTCTGCTCTTTTGGGCCTTCCAATATTGTGTTTCAGGATGAGGAGAATGTGGTGGCATGTACTCCCCTTCTCCCTTCTGTTCCCTATTTGCCAGGCAAAAGAAATTCAAGTAGTCTCTTGGGTGCCCTACTTCCCCACTCTCTTGTATTGCTTCTCCAACCAACCTATACATCATTGCAATTGTTTCTCTGGTCCAATGCAGAATTTCCTGAACTGTTTCACTTTCAGGTAATCCTTCTGGCCACATTGGAATCACTACATACACTGCAAACCTCTCCTTTGCTTTAATCTTACTCACCACCTTGAGTGCTATCTCAATGGGAATCAAATTTATGCATCCACTATGCCTGTCTTTGTCCCACAAATGGCATCCCCCAACGAAATACTGGTTTTCAATGTATATAAACCTATCAGCTCGCCTGATTGCTTCAACATAAGCATCATGGATGCTCCTCTCCACAGTAAGCTTTCTAAACAACTGGTAAGCAGAGATATGGTCAATTGACCTATATACTTGAACTTTCCAATTCCTCTCAATAGGAATGCTTGAACAAGTTTGGGGCATGAGGTTTGCTAAGGCACTTGCAGGCACTAAAAGGGAAGGATCACACTGCTTTGTCCATCTTTGCTCGAAATTTGTTAACACATCCCAAGCAGCACCACCTATAACACAAGCATGAGCATCATGCCAAGGCGATCTTGGCCCTCCTTTGTTAAGGCTAGCTCCTGCTATATTTGTCTGATAGAAATCATAGCAATGGGATTCGCTATTTAGTGTTTGAAACAATGAATGCTGCTCTGTGTCATACCTGCCATCACACAAATCTAAGCCACCAACAAAGCTTATAATTTCTCTATCATTCACAGATTTCGGTGCTTTGTCATCAACGGTTATAGTCTTCTGATGGTGAGAAAACAATGTGGGGAACTTATGGTGTAATCTGGGACACTTTCTGCATATAACTTTCGTATGTTTGAAGTATGCAAAAGCATCCTCATCATGAGTATTCATCATACCCTTGTTCTTCATAAATGACAAAGATGTTTCATCATCCCAAACCATCACCCTCACTGCCACTCCTTCTTCTGCCTTCCTTTTTAACAGCTCACCAAGCTTTACTCCTCTCGCATATGGGATTTCCGTTTCAGGATCTCTGACCTGCTCCAAAAGCATATAGATTTCTAAAATAAATATAGAATGAAAAAGGGGGCGAATTACTCTATTGATTCCTATTCTTCTCAAATTTTAATTTACTCTTTATAATTAAAAGTTTGTAATT